GTATAATAAACTCAAGGTTAATCCTGGAGTATGTGAAATCTTGTCACAAACACACAAAATGAGCAAATAACAACAGAAAGTTTCTATTGCCAGGTGTAATGGTGTGTGCCTGTAGTCATAGCTATTTAGAGGCTGAGGAGTTCAGGGCCAATTAAGGCAACATAGGGAGACAGGTCTCTTCAAACAAAGCAAACGCATCAAAAAGATCATTAAAGAGATGAAAAGTAGTAACTCACAAGCCAAGAGAAAACACTTGTGAAATAATGCATGATTAAGGACCGAATCCAAAATAGAGAAAGGAATCTTAAAGCTCAATAATAAAAATAACAACAATGACAAAATATTTAAGCAGATAGTTATCCATAAAGTTGTTAGAGCGGCAAATGAGCATGGAATGGGATGTTTAAACCCATCAGACATTAGGAAAATGGCAAATCTGTGCTGAGACACCAATATACACATCAGAAAACCAAAAAATGAAAAAGCTGATCATAGTGAGTGCTGCCGGTAACAAAGCTCAAACTGTTTCGGACAGTGTCACAGACACTTGCTTAAAGTGAAGCATGAGAGAGCAAGGCTGCCGCAAGTGCTCATGATGAGACTGACACTGGACCCAAGCAGGAAGGAACCCAAATGCCCACCAGCTGATGACCAGATCAACAACTGTTACCCACCCACACAGCATATTACTCAGCAATACCATGGCCTGTGACCTATACAACATGAGGTGCTCTCATTATGCTAAGTGAAAGAAGTCATACGTGGAAGTCTACAAAGTATTAGTTCATTCAGGTGGAATTCTAGAAAAGGTGAGACTGTGGTGACAGAACTATGTTTTATTCTGGTTTGTTTGTTTGTTTGGGTTTTTATTATTTGTTTGTTTTTTTTCTTAGAGACAAATTGAGGCTAGCAAAATGGCTCAGCAGGTAAAGACACTTAACTACAGAACCTGGGTAACAACCCCAAGTTCTGTTCCCATGACCCACATTGTCGAGGGAGACAACCAACTCCCAAAAGTTGTCCTCCAGCTTCTACACATGCCCACGTAAAAATAATAAAAATAGAATGGACTTGCTGTGTGACTTTGTAGCAGAGTACATTCCTGAGACCCTGGGTTCAGTGTTCAGGACCAGAAAAAGCAAAGGAGCTGTGTCTGCCTGTTGTTTTATACTACAGGACATATAGCTGTCTTACTGTTTATAAACATGAACAGCCAAAAATCTACTAGTAGAGAACTGGGGTGTATTGGTGCATGTCTACAATCCCAGTACTCAGGAGTAAGTGGGGAGACCACCAGGAGTTCAAGGTCAACCTTGGCTACACAGCAAGTTCAAGGACCCTATGGGCTACCCATAACCATGTCTTTCTTACAACACAGTCAAATAAAACTAATTTGCTTGTGGTCATTCAGTGAAAGAAGAGAATGACTGAACTGATTGTTTGTATTTAGAGCCAACAGACTACCTCTTGAACCAGGAGTTCAGAGCCAGCCTGGGCAATTGAGGGAACATCAGTGTAAAACAAAACACCCTTAAAGAAAAAAAGGAAGGCACAGACTAGAAGAAAATATTCATAAAATATATACATGATGAAAGATTGAATCAAAAATAGAGAATGGGATCTTACAACTCAATAATAAATGGACAAAAGAGACATTTATTCTGATGGCACCAACATGACCTCTGAAAGTCCTGAAATTGCAGTCCTTCAAAGTTGCATTGCTGGAAATAAGTTATGACCTCATGGAGTTCAGTTCATGGAAAGATACAAGTGTTATGTAAATCCATTTTTTAAAACCATAATTTCAATTTCATTTTCCCTTTAAATCACTCAATTATTTTCCCCAAAACAACACTTGGACCATGCATTGGTAATGATTGGTAATGTAGGTTGGGAAAACAGGGGGACCAGCTCAGAGCCTTCAGGAACAAAGCCAGCAGCCCAGCAGCTGCACAAGCAGGAATCTTAACAAAGAGAGCTGTCTGCTGTTGACATAAACGGTCTTGGGGGAGAAGTGAACTCCCCCCAAGAGGTGACTGCAGGTGTGTTGGCAGGAGCAGTGGAGAGAAGGTTCAAGCAGCAGATGGGGTTGCCTTGGACTGTGGCCAGAGCCAGCCGCCCCAGATGAGCTATGGCTGGAGGTGTCTCCCACCTCATGTGGGAATCTTCTTGCAGCTTTGGACCCCGTGGGGGTTAGATGACAGTCTCTGTGTCCTCCGTGTGAATTTAAATTTCCAGATGGCAATCTTTGGTCCTGCTAGTAAAGATGTAGAGTGCCTCCATGTGGTTTTGAAAAATGCCACTGTGCATGGGGCAGGGTGTGAGGGAAATCCATCCCTACCAAAAGCCATTTGCAGTTAAAAGTCAACACACTTCAAGAGGAATAAGAGATATTTTGTTCTTGAGCCAAATATAAATGACCACGGTCCAGGAACCTATATAGATTCAGGGTGCCCAGGAAAACATGTTCCATCAAGGAAACAGTAGGCTTTTACTAATCACAGAATGAAAGAACTAATAAATACATTTATCATTTGCATTTGTGGGGACCACAGACTGATGGGTTATAGTAAAACAACAACAACAATTCTTACATTTTTGGTTGTGAACCTAGCCTTTAATGGCTGAGCCATCTCTCCAGCCCAACAACAATTCTGTTACAGGTTCACATGCTCTCTGATGACATTCTTGTCCTTTGAGTTGGTGGAAGATATTGATCCACTAGAGTACATTTCAAAGGCTTTTCTTTATAGTCAAGAGATATTAGATTAAACACAGGCGTAGGGAATGAGTGACTGGTAAGTGTGCTAAAGAAAGCCTGGTAATTGGACTGTGTATCTGTACCTTTCTAACTCTCCATAATTACAGAGGTCTAGCCTACTGTTCCCAATGTGTGAAGAGTGTTCAGCATGGCTGTCTTGCTTGTTAGTTTTCTGGGAATTTCAGTTTACACAAACAATTAAACATTTCTGTTTTTGTAAATGCCATCAGTACACTTTTCTGACTCAGTTTTCTAGAAAATAGTGATGAGTCTCATGTATTCCCATTATTGGTTTAAGTGGAGAAGTGAATAATTTCATCAAATTGTTACCAGAAGTGAGGTCTAGTAATCTCAGAATCCTAGAAACATACCTTGGAGCAAATGCTGGGAGGCATGGCTTGTCTTTCTAGAAAGACCTTGTAGCTTACATATATACTGCTTACACTAGCCAAGATCTCCCCAAATATCCTGGCAGTATCGAATGCAGCCCACATGGTTAAGTTGCCTGGTCGTGGTCGGATGACACCATCCACCTTTAAGTAGATGAAGCTTGGTCCCACAGTAAAGCAGGAGGGGAACGTGGTTTTGGATGAGGTGTGTGATATGCCATCCTCGATGGCAGCTGAGGCAGCATGAACACCAACTGTTCCCACAACATTCATGCCCCAGTGCCTTTTAGCTCAATAGACACCTGTTAACCAATCATATGCCCTATTCTACAAGGAATTCCGTGAGGGGTATAAATAAGACAGCAACTTTAGCATGAAATACTGTGAAATATCTTTTTGGCAAACAAGATGGAAAGTGAGTAACAAGAGAGTGCCTGAGGCATGCTGGTGGATGGATTGGAAAATGGAGGCAATGGCAGGCATAGGAGCAGTGGCCATTTCATTGAATGAAATATTAAGGGAAGAGGGGCTTACATGAACCACATAGTCCCAGGAAGGGACACAGCCTTCTATTTGGGAGAAATGCAAAGCAAGAAGAGAGAGGCAATTGCATTGGTGAATAGGACAGTACTGCTGACCTTCAGGAGTAGGACTCTGGGGAGAGGGAGGCAGTGGGCAGCAATGCTGGGAATTATGGAGGAAGCACAGCAGCAAGCTGCTGAAAGTGACAGGAGGAGGCACAAAGAATATGAGAACTGCTCTCTTCTTACAAGGGGAAAATTGCCATTTTGAAAGCAGAGGTGTGTGGGTTTTTGAAGGGGAAACATTCAGTGTATTTTACAGGCAACAACTATAGAATCCCAGTTAATAAAGGACAGAATCACAGGATAATCAATAATATTTCAATAAGGAAGTGAAACTGGAATATTTTTTCATTTTATGCAAATAGATTAAGAAACTCAAATCTAATTACCAAGTAATAGCTCAAGCAAGAAATCAAGGAGAAAAAAGCTTTGAGGTTTTTCCAAATTTCTTTCATCTTTTGTTCTCTCCAGAGCACTGTCATGTCTTCTCTCAAGAATTTAATGAGATTATTTCTCACCTCAATGGAATTCTTCTGTATTTTAGATTTTAAATGTCCCACAAAAACCCATGTGCTCACAGTTTGCTCTCTAAGCATAGGGTTAGGAGGTGAGGACTGATGGGTGGAAGTGATGTCATTGGGAAACATACCCCTGAAGGGAATATTGAGACCCCAGCCTCCTTTTCCTCTCTTGCTTCCTGGACATGATGAGGTGAACAGCTTGTCCTATCATGCATTTTCACCATGATGCTTTCGCCTCACCTCAGGGTTAAAGCAACAAGGCCAACCAGCCATGGAGAAACCCCTAGAATCTTGAGCCCAGATAACACCCCCTTAAGTTGACTATTCCAGCTATTTAGTGCAATGAAGGAAAGCTAGCAAACACAAATAGCTAGGTACAAGAACTATGGATAAAGGCTCTCAGTCTTCCCTTCCTGAGGAAGAGATCAGGGAGAATAGAGACAATGGCATCTGTGGCAAGCATGCTTACTTCCTGTCAGCACAGAAGTATTCAGGACTTCTGGTGAATGAGTGAAGGTCACGTGCTCCTGAATGACAGGCAGTGTGTCAATTCATGGGGAGAACCAAGATGTTGTGTGTGTGTGTGTGTGTGTGTGTGTGTGTGTGTGTGTGTGTTGGGAGAAATCTGAGTGTGGTATGCTTGTGGAGATGAATATGAATGCTTCTTGCTCCTTCACAGTGTGACATGTCATTTGAAAGGCCTGTTCTTACTGTCATCTTCACAAGTGTTTTCTGTCCTCCTCAGACACAGGTGTATTTGCAGTGGTCAACAGCCATTCCTTGTCCTTGCTGGGGAAGCTGACAATCAGTGCTGCCTTCAACATTGTTTACATTTACACCTCTGAGCTGTACCCCACTGTCATCAGGTATGAGGCTCATGGTGCTGTGTCCCATTCGTGACATCTGGACTTTACTGACTGTGCTTCTTTGGGTGGAGATGGTCTTCCCTACTTTTGCATGGTCAGATGTCAGTCATAAGAGCGTTTAATCACCCATCGTCGTAGCTACTGTGCTATCACTGCGGGAGACACCATGACCAAGGCAGCTCTTATAAGTGAAAGCATTTACTTAGGGGCTTGCTTACAGTCTCAGAGGGTCATTTGTTTTAGATAGACAGTGCATAGTTACATAAGAAAGAACATCCTCTATCCTAATGTCCCAGATTCAAGATGAGGCTACAGCCCCAGCTCTGCTCCCTGTCCCCTAGGCTGGTCTTCTCTATGCCAGCCCTCTGCTGGTCTCCTAAGAGATCATTTGAATTATCCCCTTCTGTTTCCTCATGCGAGAGCCCTAGGGTTACTTTCCACCTGTTGGCTTGAAGTCTCTTGCCCAGAATAGCTGGGTCTGCAGTTGTCTGTACATGCAGTTGTTTGCTTCTGCAACCTATTCTGTAACTTAGATGCCTTGCCATCCTCTCAGGGACACTTCATGCTAACAGGAGGGCTGAGAGGAATTGGATGGCCACCCTATCTGGAAACAGTTCCATTCTCGGCTCCCTCTCTACCTTCTTTGTCTAGATTGTTAATGATATTCTGGGTTACCTGACAAAGAGTGCACACATTATTTCCTGTTTACACACCTGGTTTTTGATAGTTAGCTGGGTTTTTTTTGTTGTTGTTGTTTTTTTGTGTGAAAATGGGCAAAAGTTTTGGATCACAAAGCCCTGGTTCTCCGGCTGTGTTAACTGTAGAACTAAAGTCACTAGTTTCCAGGAGACATGCTCAGATGCTCATTCTGTGTCCTCTTCTGTCTAATATGGCTGTCATTATCCTCATGTGACTTTTTAAATTCATTAAAATTGCAGAAACCAGAGGCAGCTCTATGGTTAAGAACACTGGCTGCTCTTGCAAAGGACCCAGGTTCAATCCCCATCACCCACATGACAGCTCACCAATGTTTATAAGTCCAGTTCCAGGGGATCCAACACCTTCTTCTAACTGTCAATGGTACCAGGCATGCACATATGTGCAGTCAAACATTTATACACACTAAATAAATACAAATCTTTAAAAAATCAGTTTCTGCTGAGTATGTGGCTCATAACTTGAATTCCAAGAGTTGGAGGCAGAGACAAGAGGATTGCCATAGTTCAAGACCAGCCAGGGTCACCATAACAATAAAAGTTCACTTCCTTATCCTCTTGAATCACATTCCAAGGACTGAGAAGCCTCATGTGTCTAGTGACTTCATATATGGTGGTGATTCCAGAGCTCTTTGGCCTCACAGAAAGGTCCAATAGGCAGCACTGTATCATCTACTTAAGAATTATTTACCATTTTGAGCTCATTGTATTCTTCCAATCCAGGATATTTAAACTGTCCACCTGAAACTTAAAAATTTATTTAATTAGTAACTTTGTTTTTCCTTATGCCTTCCAGGAATGTTGGCCTTGGAGCATGTTCCATGTTCTCCCGAGTTGGCGGGATCATTGCCCCGTTCATACCCTCACTGGTTGGTTTGTACCTCCTGTTTCTGTTCTTCCTGGTTCTCTGCTTTGGAACTCATGGGTGCTTTTGTGTAGAAAGAGGTAACAAACAGGTCTAACCAAGAGCAGCTGCACAAATATGAATCATGGGCCTTTCTGATGCAGAGCCCAGGATTCTGTCAGGTGCTTGGACTGGGGCTTTTCCCCAGTGGTCTGGCTTTCTGTTCATCCAGACCCACTTTAGGGTCTGATGATACCAGCAAGCCCCTCCCCATAGACATTCAGAAGTCAATTAATATTTATGATCTTCTGCGGTGGGCTGGGTTCTATGCTAAGGACTTTGAATATGTTACTGCATGTAACCTTCACAGCCCAGTAAGAGGCAGGCCTTGTCATCTGCTCTAAAGAGGAGAAGTGCTCTAGAAGCAGGTTGAATATGTGCTCACTACTGGGAAAGGAACCTGGAGGAGAAACACACCTAACAGCATGCATGCCCCTGTCTTCTTTGGCATTTTGGGATCAGGAGAACGAGTGACCACTTTAAAATCCTTGCAGCTTAAAATGTGAAAGCCCTGGGTCCCATGCAGGTCTCTTCTTGATTTTGCTAGGTAGAGGATACATATGAGCAGTGGAGTTGGGGAAAAGGGTCCCACAGATAGCCCAAGCATTGTTTGTGAAGCCTGACAAGCTATTATAGAAGCCAGCTTTTGTGATAAAGGCTGTTTTTAGAATAACAGACTGTCTTAACCCTGGGACAACAAATGTTTTAAGTGATAGACAGTCATGAGATCAATCACGGGACCTTGAGCTGTCTCAGGAAGGAGTCAGACATGTGGTAACTAAGAACACTACAGCTGCATCATGGTATTATGCCTTCTGAGGGTCAGAATGCCCCTTCCTTATTAAATGTCCTTGAGGCTGCTACATCAATAAGTAAGAGTTGAGGGTATTTCCCCATTTACCCTAACAAAAACTCTGAATTCTAAAACCTTTACAAAAGCGACTAGAGACATGACTCGCTGGTTAAAAGCACATCTGCTGTTGTACAGAACCCTGGTTTGATCTCTGCACCCATGTCAGGCAGCTCCCAACCTCCTATAACTTCAGGGGATCCAATACTGCCATGGGTACCAGCCCATCCATGCACTTACCCACGTACACAGAATTAAAAGTCCTGAAATAGTCTTTAAATATTATATCATAATATGTTATTGTATAATAAAGTATCATTAGAATATTACTTATACTGTGGTTTTGACATCACCTTTGGGGGCTTTTCTAGAGCCTCTTGAGAATAAATAGCCTAAAAGGTAGAGCCAGCCCATTGTTGGGAGCCTGTGCATTGAAAGAAAGCATTGGCTTGTCCTAAGAATACTTTGGAATCTTTGAAGCAATTGCTGGTTGCACCGTATTCAACTCAAATAGCTTAAAACTCTGTGTACCACATGATTTTTCTTTCAGTTTCTACTCCTTTAACCTTGGGCCTGTCAGTGTAATGTTATAACACATTTGACAACTTCCAAGTTTATTAGCAGCAAATAGTTCAGGGTCTCCTTTCTATGAAGAGAATGTGGAGCTCACTGTGGAGCAGACTTTTTCCTTCGGGTAGAAGAAGCTGGACTCAGAGTTTCTGTGAACTCTGCCTGTGTGGGCCGCCTGAGCTCACAGATAGCCATGGCTGGTCCAAGGCATCTAGTTCATATTCTCGTGAAGCCCTTTGACTCACTTAGTTCCATCTCTTCATGACTGAGGAAACACTCTTTGACTTCCCAGGATAATTGTTGTAGAGCAGAAATAACAAAACATGATGTATGGTGTAGTTTAGTGGGGAGGTGCTGACTAGACAGTAAACATGGCAGTTCTTGGTCACAAGACTGCTGGTGTCACCTGCTAGGAAACTGATAGGTTTGTTTCATTCCACTCCCTATGCCCACAGAAGGACTTGCAGTGGTCTCTGCCCTTCATCGTATTTGGAGCCACCGGCCTGGCCTCAGGCCTCCTGAGCCTGCTGTTGCCAGAGACTCTGAACAGCCCTTTGCTGGAGACATTTTCGGACCTTCAGATGTACTCATATAGGAGGTTAGGGGAAGAAGCCTTGTCTCTCCAGACCTTGGATCCTCCACAGGTATAGAGACACTTGCTATAACCATCCAGGTTTTCCACTAGGGCTAAAAGAGTTTTTGAAAACAAAACATAATGTTCAGATTGAAAATAGAATGGAAAAAAATTGAATTGAACTACAATGGTTTACAGCAAAATAAAAATGGCAATGGATTCATTAGCTTTCTTAGAACACTCTGGGCAATTCATTAGGAAAATAGATGTCATGAAGATTCATTTGTGTTGGGGCTGGTGTATAGTTCAGTTGGCAGTTTTTGTGTTAAATGCATGAGGTGCTCTGGGATTTGATCCCCAGAACAATGTAAAACTGGGAGTGTGTGGTACACCCCTGTAAACCCATCGCTTGAGAGGTAGAGGCGGAAAGATCAGGGTTTGATCTCAGCTACATAGCAAACTGGAGGCTAACGTGATCTATGTGAGACCCTGTCCGCAAACAACAATAACAACAAAATTGTCATGTGGTAATAGATGGTAATTCTCACTTGGGTGTCATGACATCATTTCACTGCCTCTACAAGTTCTCCTTTGCCATTTCAGGCCCTGGACAAGGCCAGCACCTTGGGGAGCGAAAGTGAGGAGGAGGAGTTCTATGATGCAGATGAGGAGACACAGATGATCAAGTGAAGAGCTCCACATCCCTGCCCAGAAGCAAAGCATCATTATCATGAGTGCCCTGGGTTCACTTAAACACCAGTGATGGACTCAGCCCGCTGACACTTTCTAGATACAGAGGAGGTTGCGGGAGAGGTTCCAAAAGGGAGAGCCTTGGAATCATTGCTAATTGGTTCAGAATTGAGGCTGAGCTCAGCACCATGCCTCTGGCACACAGCTCAGGTCCACTGTCAAGGTGACTGACTTGTGTCTCATGCTGCTTCCCTTCCTCGAGACCTAAGAGCAGATGTGTGAAACTTCTCACAGTTTTACTGGGATTAGCCACACCTTCCCCCCAAGATTTCATCTTCCTAGTAAATTTGACGTCTGTCTCTGTCACTTGCTGCTCCCCACCAGGAATCTTCTGGTGCAGCGTGATGTGTCCAGAGCCCCCAGCTTTCCCTCAGCTGGTTCTCACCCATTGACTGGCAATGCAGCTTGTGCCTTTATCCTGAGATCATTCACTAGTAAAAGCCAGAATCAACAGAGCAGTTTGCTGTCATCACAGGACTGGCTGTGGCTCGGTAGCTCCCTTTGACACTTGTGTTGGGCAGTGTTTCCAGTTCTTACTTGGAAACCCTTGGGACATTTTTCTTTGTGAGATTCTAGTGTCAGCAATAACTTCAAAATCATGCACTATAAACTGGGGAAAGTCAACAAGTGATATGCTGAGCACTTTTTAAATGTGACTTAAGTAAGAGAGAGGATTTTCTTTCACAGTGTTTGCTGTCTTCAGTATGCATTGAGGGATTTGGACAGCACGTCAGGGCTTGAACACTGCCCTACATGAGCCTCTACTTGTTTACTCAAAAGGCATGGTGATTTTTAAAGAAAATGTTGAGTTTCATTAAGTGCTTCCATGGATTTCCAAATAAATCAAAATCACACTTATATCTGTTTCTTGAAAAACTTGAACACTCTCAAAGAGGTATATAAACTAAGAGTCCACATATGGGCAATTGATCACTTCCCCAACAAGGGAAATTGCTTGTGTCTAGAATGTCTGCTTATGCTAATCTCTTGGGAACAGAAAACACAAATATGAAGGAAAGGTACCCTGTGGATGCTTCTGGACGTCATGGAGACCTGCATTTGTCGCCTCCTCAGTGTTGTCTGTACCCATCTGTTCCTTTGTTGAAACATTGTTTTCCTTTATGTCCTTGATAATGAGGGAGCCATTTCTACCGCTGTAGAGAATGGTGACTGTGATGCAATGAAGACCTTATAGGTGTGTAGCTGTCAGGAAGGTTATGGAACTCCCTGCAGCATCATATCTGAAAATCTCAGCAAAGTGTGCCCTACATCCCCAAACTGTGGAGTCCTGCTTCTCTCCTCTCTTGGAAATGGAGATTGGCTCTCCTTAGAAAAGGAAGAAAAGAGCTTCCAGAAACACTTGATTCTTGTCAAATACAGTGTTTAAAATAAAGAAGTAAATTAATTTATATGTATGTTTTTTGACTGGCTTGATCTCTCCTTATAAGAATAATATTACCCATTATAGAAAATTTGATATGAGAAGTTAGAAAATGTGTCCATTGTCCAGCCCCCAGGGAAAGCCATGCCATGGCTTTGCTTCCCACGTAGATTTTTCCACTCTGTTGCCACTGAGGTCCTGGATGCTTCTGGTTTAGTAAATGGAGGTCCTGTAATTCTGGTGCTGTGTTTGGTTTAGGAGGTAGAAGGAGAGACCCCAGTTCAAATTATGTGTTGTGTAATAAGGCTGGGTTGGCTATTGGCTGCTCTTGTTAGATATATTATTATTTTTTCTTCTCCCTAGATAACCCTCTAGCATAGTTTATAATTATTTCCACTGTCTTTCTAAAGATGGATTTTATTCCCTATTAGCTGTTAATAAATATTGATGGAACAGAATGTGCACATGTACATAATGTGCATTGATTAAATTGCTAGAATCTTACTTGATAGGTAGTATGTTTTGTTTGTATAGATAGTCCATTAAAAGCATCTTTAAAATAATAGTGAAGGTGTCTGAAAAAGTCATAAGGAATCATACTATTAACTATCTACTTAAAATACCTATAATACATGTAGGTCAGTATATAAATATACACAAATAATCATTGTATTGCACATAGGTAGTGCAGCTCAGGCCTGACTACTACCATGCTCCCAGCTGGCAGCACAGGCTATCCAGATGAATTTGGTCCCAGTGCAGCATGGCCCTCTGACACCAACATGGTCTCAGGTGACTAACCAGACCCCAGGTATCCACATGGCCCTCAGTGGCAACAGGAGCCACGACCCTAGCTTTATAGGGCTGTGGGAGGGGAGGTATTAGTGTCTGCCTCTTGTGAATTTAATAAAGGATCACAGAATACAGGCTTTTGTTCATACAGAGTGTGTTAGGAATACAGTAGCAACTTTGACAAACACAGAACCTACTAGAAATCATGAGTACTGTATGAGATGGATTGTAAGAAACAAGTCAGGGGCTTAAAAGAGCCCCAGGAGAACAGTATTAAAGAATGCAAAGATGATGCATTGTGGGTAATCCTTGGATGTAGTACATCAGAGGAGAAAGACTCATGACCACTTCAGTAGGTACAATATTCAATACGCATTCCAAATTAGAGCTATGAACAGACTAAGAATACAGGAAACACTGGCAAGATTGGCTCAGCCTGAGCTTCAGTTCAGTGCTTGGGACCCATCTAAAGGAAGCAGAGAGCTGATTTGTGCAGGCTGTCTTAGGACTGCCACATGTATACAGTGATGCACATAGACACTCAAAGTAAAAAGGTAAGGTTTAAAAAATACAGAAAGCTCCCTTAGCAAAATAAGGGATATTGTAGTAGATATGGTGAGTGGCACACATCATCTGCATCTCCTGGATACCTCAGTATTCAGATTTTCTTGATCCCAATCCACCATAAAAACTTATGGGGTCAACAGAATGACTCAGTGAGTAAAGGCACTTGCAGTGCAAGCATAGTGCCTTACTTTGGTCCCCAGAACCCACATAAAAGTGGAAGGAAAGAGCTGACTCCACAAAGTTGTCTTCTGATCTCCACACATACATTGTGGTATGCACATGCCGGCACACATACATCACACACACACACACACACACACACACACACACACACACCACATGCACTATTTAAAAAATACATATATGTATCTGTTTGTGTGTGCAAATGTGCACACATTTGTGTGCTTCTGTGTGTGGAGACCAGAGGTTGAGGTTGAGAATATTCCTCTATCATTCTCCACATAACTTTTTGAGACAGAGTCTCTCACTGAATTTGGAGCTCACCATTGTGGCTAGACTGGCTGGCCAGCAAAGCTCCAGGACCCACCTGTTTCCACTCCTGAGCACTAGGCCTACAGAAACATGCTGCTGCATTCAGCTTTTCTGTGGATGCTTGGGATCCTAATTCAGGTCCTCATATTTGCATACTGGGCACTTTACATATTGAGCTATTGGCCCAGCCCAAGAAATGCTTTTATATATTCTCTCCTCTCTCCTTAAAGATATATAAATATGCATAAAATAGAAAAATGTTCAAATAGCTTTTATAAAAGATAATTCATCAATAGTTTGTTTCATTGTTTTGTCATTTGTGACATGAGTCAATTTCATGGTGCATTAATAAGTTGTAACCCTATTGGAAATACACTATTCTCCTTGCATTGCAGAAGCTTTAAGACTGAAAATGTACACTGCCTGGACTCACTTGCAGCTATACTTCTTGATGTGTTTTAGATTCAGCCAATCAAACACAGAATTTAAAATACGGAAGTGAGGTAGAGATCTGCTTTTTATGTCTGGATTTCATAGGGGTGAAACCATTTAATTTCTTTCAGGCAGTATTAGCAGAAAGATGTTAGGCAGGAGAACCAGACCAGAATGCTGGGAGGAAGAAGGGTGGAGTCTGGAGTTGCCAGACAGATGCAGAGGGAGCAGGAGATGAATGTGCCATGTTAATAAAGGGACCTCCATGTGGCAGAGGGTAAATAAGGAATATGGGTTAAGTTAAAATGGAAGAGCTAGTTAGTAATAAGCCTGAGCTATTGTCAGGGCATTTGTAATTAATATAAGCCTCGGTGTGTCTATTTGAGAGTGGTTGCAGGACAGAAAAACTCAGTTTACACTTTTATTCTGTATTTTGTGCCTAGTGCACATGCATGCAAGGAAATGCATGGAAAGAAGTCCTCCCATTGTGCAGTTATTAGTTGCTGTAAGACAATGAATTTATATATTTATGTATATATGTACATGGACAGTTCAGAGAATGCATTTACTCAATTTTATATGTGCATGATGGAATAGTAACGAGTTTAAATATTAAGAGTGAGTGACACTGGGGGAGGGAGGGGGAGTCAGTGTTCTTTAAGGCTGTAGCTCCTGGCAGGTCAACCATGTTCCAGTGGGTGCCCCCAGCCAGAAGTATATGGATATCACAAATTATAGTGGATGGACTACTAAATTTTTTAAAGGGGGGCATGAAGTTGGAGAGATACAGAGGATCTGGGAGGGGTGGGAGGTAAATATGGTCAATACACATTGTATGAAATTTTCAAAGAATGAAGTTATTTCTTTATAGAAGAGTGTGTGACTGGGGTGCTTACTTGATAAAGAAATTCCTTTTTTTGCCTACTTTCCAATCAGGATCATTCCTATCATGTTATACAAATATAGAAGGCTTGTACTTATCCCCACTAGATGAAGAGGTATCGCTCTCAGTAGAGAAGGCTGCCCATGTGGCCACATGATAGCCTAACTTTCTCCTAAGAGGGAGCCTTGTATCTGTAGAAACATCTGGACAATTCTAGCACTTGTAAGTACTGCTAGAACAGCTTAGAGGAGCTTATGTATTAGAAATAATAAGGGCAGATTCATTCAAAGGATCTCAGTCTAGACCATGTAAGATAATTGGTTTTGAGTAAAACTGGTACGTCAGAATCTCTGCTCCAGAGCGTGAGATGATAAATGGAGCTAAGTGATTGTGTATGACGTGCACACTCAGTGTAGAGAAGAGTTTAATAAAAGAGTTTCCAACGAAAGGGCAGAGGAGTGGGCAGGGCAGTGAAGAGACACCATGTAGGACCTGTGAGGCTCACCTCAGGGAGCAGCATCCAGACTGACGTGTGCAAAGATAGCTTACGCGTATAAAGATACCTCTCCAGACACTCAGAAGTAGCAGTCCCCTCAGAAGAGGAGGGCTGCAGAAGGGCTGAAACTGTGCTGTTCTTGGCGGCTATGTTCACAGCAGATTCCCATTGCTTCGTAGAGTCATTTTCATTATTACATGCACATTTTAGCATGAGTTGGATGCTTGCATGCCTCCACTGTGTGGCAGGTACCAGACCCATGTACCCGAATCTACAAGAACAGTTACTCAACACCGCCTACAACTGGAGTGCCATCTGCCAGACAACCTCCCCACCCCTTCCACAGCATCCCAATGCTCCGAGGTTGTCATCAAGATCTCATTGTACCACCCTGAGGATGCTTCTGGAAGGAAACGAACAAACAAACAAAACAAAACAAAAGGATTAGCCTTGGTCAACAAATGCTTTAAACCCTCGCATGCCACCCCCACTTCCTTGAGAATACAAAATAGCAAGAAAGTGGCCCAGAATGGATTGGTATGTCTACAATATGCTTGTTCTGATGCAGCAGTTAGAACAGAAAATTCAATTCTGGTCTTCCCAGGGAAGAACAGTGGCAGAGCAGCAGCAGTGTTCTCATCACTCAGGAAATCAGCACTGCCATTGTAGTTCACTGGGGTAGAGACTATGGTCAAGGAGAGGGGATGGTACAGAAAAGACCCAATGGTTAGGAGGCGCCGGTCAAGCCAACTTCTCCATGAAGATTACATCCAAAGGCCTTACTAGTCTTCAGGAGTGATGTGGGGCTCTGTGTGCAGGGGTCAGGGGATGGCATCCATTTCCCATTGCTACTGGAACTAATACACACACACACACACACACACACACACACACACACACACACACACACACACACACACTGAGTTTGGACATGATGGTTTTGGAGGTAAAAATACAAAACGAGTCTTAAAACTTCTTCAAAATGAAGGTGTCTGTCCTCAGGACTGTTGGTCAGATTCTCCAGAGAAAAATTCCTTCCTTCCTTGTGCTCTAGCTGCTTCCCAAGGTGGCAGCATTCCTTGGCCTGATGTCTGCACTCCTGTTCAATGAAGTGCCCCTTTCTTCCTCAGATCTCCTGCCTCCCTCAGAGATGGGCTCCTGCGTATCATCATCAATCCACCAAAGAACTCAATCTAATCTGCCCATCTGAAGGTCTTAACCCTAATCACACCCCAGGAGTTTCTGTTGCAATAAAAGATAACATTCTGGAGTTCAGGAGATTGGAATGTGAATGACTGAGCCATTCATCCAGCCTATCAGCTCTTGAGGTGTCATTAAGACATCAAGCAGACAGAATCTGTGGTTCAACTAATATTGATCTCATAGCTCAATATATTGCAAATTCAATAGAATGATTAATTGGCTAGGGGAGATAGACACAGACCCTGTTGGCAGCCCTAAGTCTGTGTATTGATCTTTTCTACCTCTTTGGCTAAGCCAGGGTCCTCTCTGAGAACTACTGTGGCCATTGTTTGAGAGAATAAGCCAAGTTGTTTACAAAAACCATTGTAGCTAAAAAAATTTGACTACTGAATTTCATTTGCTGTACTTTTTGTTGTGTCTGTGCTGGGACTTAAACCCAGTGCCTGTTGCATGCCAAGCATACACTCTACCACTGAACTAACACCCTCATCCCATCCCCCAGCTGCTCCGCTTGTCTCTTAATGCCCAGCAGTTGCCTTTGCAGGATCAGTTCTGTTGTTTTCTTTGGTTCTCTCAAAGTAGCATATACCTTTCCATGCTAGCACTAACTTGGTAATTTAATAAAGGACGGTGTCTTCATTACTAAGCCACAGCCTCTGTGGAGATGGAGTCCACATCTTCCTCTTTCCCACCACAGTCTAGTCCAGAGAACCCCATTCAGTGCTGGACAGAGTGCAAATATTTTTGAAGGAATGAACCAGTCTCTTGCCACTTTTTCCTAAAGCTCTATTGTCACACTGAACTCAAGGGCAAGAACAAACTATTTTTAGTCACCTTAGTAATCCTGCAGAAATTTACTTGATTTGTGGGTAAATGGATGTAGAGAAGCTGGTTAAGTGGTTTATCGAGTCAGTACTCAAGTCACCCAAATCAATTTGAGAAAATGTCTGTGGGTAATTTATCTCTGGAGGTGCTACTCATAGGTAACTGAAAGACTCCCATCCCGCCTTGACCTTGCCACATAACCTTGGCATTTTGTGCAAGGGAGTAGAACCTTGAAAACAGAAGTGAGTAAAAGATTAGTCACTCAATTATTTTGTGTATGTAGTCTCAGACTTATTACCAGGAAACCGTGTGGCCTACTGAATGCAGATTGAATGAATTTGTGGTGAGTGGGGTGTGTATGTGTGTCTATATGTGATCTATGTGATGTATGTGTGTTTCTGTATGTGGCATGTGTATGTTATATCTGTGTGTGTGTTATATGTGCGCCTGTGGTCTGTGGTGAATGTATGATGTGGGGGGTGTAGGAGTATAGTATATATGTGCGTATAAGAGTATGGTGTATGTGATTTGTGTGTGTTTCTGTGAGCATGTGTGTGCATGTATGGGTAGTTAACTGATCATCTTCTGTCCTCAAAGGCCATCACTGCACTGTGAAGGTGTTCTTGGGAGGAATTTTGGGTCTTGCCATCAATGTTGAAATGTTCATGTCTCTTAAATAGAAACGGCACATTGGAAGCTCAGGGATGCTGTCAGTTTGGTTGCAGACATTTGAAGATCAATACATTAAAAAAAAATCATCAGTTAAATCAGTCTTCAGATTTCTTTGTTAGGTCTCAAATGTTGGCTTTCACAGGTTAACTGGATATGGATAACCTCACAGTAGTGAGAGGAATGAACACACACCTGAAAACAGCTGGAATTGAGGCCTGGGAGGACAGCTGGCAAGCTCCTTGCATTTATTTCTCCATCTAGATAGACCCAGGGGCCCCAAAACATCTCTGAGACAAAAAATGTATCCATGTTCCTCTGTGCTGTGGAATTCTACACTGCTGACATGGCCAGATCCTAGCAGAGACAGCCTCTCAGACTCACTTTCACAGGGAAGGAATTCATGATCTCAGCCATTCTACAGGGCAGGGAGGGGCTGGACCCAGAATCAGCTGAGTAGGAGAGGGCAAGGTGGGGTCTGAGGCAGCAGCCATCCTAGGGCATGCCGGAGGACAAAACCTGAGGGAGGGAGGGCAAGGGTCACTGTTTGGGTCACGTGGAATAAGTAGAACAGGTTCCTCGGCCAAGGGACTGGTTAGTAAATGCAGCTGGCAAAGGCGTCCCATGATGCTCTCATGTGAGCAGTAAGGGGGCAATCCAGGGGTCATATATCTCCTTTCAAAGCATTCCAGCCTGCCTCATGGGGCTGCAATCTTATTCCTGTGTGGATGTGTATAAATGATCCGAAGATCCAAGTTGTTTCTAGACCACAATCGCTTTCAGGAGGAATCACATTTACTCAGTGACTTTGTTAGGTCTATCTTTGAGATACAGGGAGCAGCCACTGTATCTCAGAACAGTTGCTGGACTTGCCAGATAATATGTCCTCGTGTTTCCCTTGAATTCATTTTTTTTCTTGGACTTTGTTTAGCTAAGAGGCCTGACAGACTGTCACTACTGTTCAGAGGATCCCGAGCTCCATGCCACCATGTCAAGAATACTCAGGGTTCTGCCATATTATTTTCAGAACTGTTAAGTGGGTGGAAACAGGGAGACTAAGGACAGTGACCCTCCCAATGATTTCTAGAAGTGGTAGTGCAGAATCTAGACCTATTTGGGGGATGACAAAGCTCACACACATACTTGCCTCTCTTGCCTCCTGAGGAAGGGAGAGATTTAAAGAGGGATCCAAGCTGTTTGAAAGATTGTTAGCACCAGCTCCACCTTGCCCCCAGGCTCTTAGAGTGGGAGGCAGCTGAGCAGAGCAGGCAGATAGGATTCAGATTAGGTGAGGATTCCCATGTTTGTTACGAAGCATGCAGATTTTTTTTTTTTTTTTTTTTTTTTTTGTCTCTAACATTAAATCAGTGGAGGAAGACGTTTGTCATTCAATGATTCAGGCCATCAGAACCAGTGTCTTCATGGCAGGTGAGACACAGCAACAATAATGGCAGATTTTTGGGGTGTCTCTAAGGGTTGCTCTTATTTATTACTTTGGGGACACTGTTAACTTGCATTGCATTGGAGTCCATTCAAGAAATCTGAGGACTAGGCCATTGTAGTGGGCTGGGGACAGTCAAAGATCAGTGAGGCAGGTGTCTCAAGCTGTGAGCCCTCCCAGTCTTTGACCTGACTGGGATATGTGTGGTTAGGGGGTGGGGAAGACTGCAGAAGAATCTGTAGTATTTCAAGAGGGAGAGGCTGAAGCGAAATTCCAGGGAGACCTCAAATAGTCAAGTCTGGACAATGGCCTCATATTTGCTTTCTAAGGAGGATGAATACCTTGAGAAATGAGATCTTGGAAATTTTGGCTAGAACTTTGAAAGAAAAAATCTGTAACTTCTAATCACCCCTCCCTTAGAACATTAATCATACCCCAAAACCCCATACTATGGAGAAGAAACTTGAGTAGAGGTATAGAAACAGTTCCTCTTAGAAATGTCTCTCCTCTCACCAGCACGCTTAGTCACCCAACACCGACAATCAGGCATGCCAAATACCATCAAATTTTCTTTCATATTCCACAGGAAATCCATTTATTTTGTGGTTGGTATCTTTTAGCCTTGAAATAGTAGAAATATTCTCTGAAGACACTTTAGTGCCTCCTGAAGTCGTAACTGATCTGGTATAAACAATGGCACCTCCTTTTCCTCATCTGCAGCATAAAATGCTAGTAGCCTATGTTGCAAATCTGCTTTGATGGTTACTAATTGCTAATTAAAATCTCACATAGTACAGCTTACAATAAGGTTTGTGGCTTAGGCCAGTCAAAGAGCTTTTCAAAAAGGTTTGACACACAGTTTTTTTTAAGTGAAAGCTTTTGAGTATATTCTTCTTTTTGACCAGCAGTTCATGCCTACAATGACAGTTAACTGGGAAAGCTGAGACCAGATGTCAGTTGTATCTAGCAGCTGTGAGCCATCCTCAATAAAATAAAATAGAATAAAATTAAAAAGCCTTAGGGTGTGGCTGGATGACAGATTCTGTGCTTAACTTTTTCAGGAAAAGAATGTCTGTAAAACCACCTTCCCCTGGGGCAAGCTGAGGATTCTCCTCCCACTTTTCTGAGGAATCCTGGGCCTTTTGGAGGAGGCTGCAGCCTCCTGTGGGAGGAGTGGAGGTTACACAAAAGCGCTTCCTCAGGCTATGGACAGCAGATCTCCCTGTGTCTTTGGAAGCTGATTGAAGGGTAAGTGTGGATGAGAGAGGGAACTGAGGGTTCCCCCCCCCTCTCTCTCTCTCTCTCTCTCTCTCTGTGTGTGTGTGTGTGTGTGTGTGTGTGTGTGTGTGTGTGTTGATGTCCGTGTACCCATTCATCTGTGCACCATGGAGGAGGAGACCGGGCACACTGGCTGAGGCCTGCTCTACAGAGGGAAAGGCCGCAAAGGTTCTTTCTGCCATGGATGTCACTTTTAGAGTGGATGGGCAGACCACATCAAAGTTTATTGGCGGGTTGCTACAGCTAGTTCCTATATGCGCTCTCTCTTACATACTCTTTCCTTTCTACTTTATATACTCTCTCTGAGTAATCTCGACACCATCATCTTGGAATATTGAGTTCTGTGATTTGTAATATTCTTTTTTTTTCTTAAAATGATTAATTGTTGGTTATAAAAATATGTTGGGTAATACAAGAAAAACTAACGTTGAAAACACTGGCAAGGCATGGTGGTATAAACCACTAATCCTACCTCTGGAGAGATGAAGGCAGGACATGGCGGGGCAGCCCTGTAAACCTCCACCCCCTGCACCCCACGGAGTCCATTTTACCTCTCCAGTTAAGTTTTTCCTCAATGTTTGGAGTCATATGTTATTTTTCCACTAATCTATAATCTAAAAAAGATAGGTTTGGTTTTAATGCTTTCCAAATGCTTGCCTTACCTGGAAGTTTAGAATTTTACTCCCTGCTATTTAACTCGGGGAGGTGGCTAATAAAAATGTTCTAGACTTGAGGGGACTATTTGTTGCCTTTGGGCTTGGAGAAGCATCGAAACCAAGTACAATTTGCGAAGTTTCCTTTCTTATTTAGTCTGACTGCCCTGCCAGGGTTTGGTGGACAATGTCAGATTCTTACCAGTTTATTCTCACCATATTATTATTGCTGTCTGGGTTCTGCCCCTTTAGCTGCTGCTTCTGAGACCCCTGCCACTACTGAGTGGAGAGGAGTGGAGTGCCCCACTGGGTCCCTCCCTGTGTTTTTGATGACTCTGGCAGAAGTCATACACTTACCGAGTCACTTGCTTCCCAGACTCACTTTTGATGACTGGGAAGATGCTCAGGCATTTGGTGACATCACCCCTTGGTTTCCACATGAATAAAAACCAGAATGTACTTTTTTCCCTGAATTGGTCATTTCAGGTGGCCTGGGGGCGGGAAGAGGAAGTTTCTAATGCCTACATAGATTGTCCTTTTAATTCAAAACCTGTGGTCATTCACTGGCCTCTCGCTTCCGTGTCTCTATTCTTCTGATTTTTTTTTCCTGCCATCAGATGAATTTCTTTCTAGACACCTATGTTAATAATTCTGCCTTCCAGCTTTAAAATACACTGTGGGGAGTATTGTTATCTACATATATATACATATATATATATGAATACAATACATATATGAGTACAATTCATATATGCATATGTGTGAATATATGTATATTATGTGGATAACAATATAAAGTATAATAATATAAAGTCAATCTTACAGTCCATAAACATGGGATACATTTATATATTTTATGTTTTAATCTCTACCAGTATGTTTTATAATTGAACCTTTCCTATCTATTTTATTCTTGGATATTTTCATAAATGGAATTGTTTCCTTAATTTCATTTCCAGATTGCTTGTTGTTAGTATACACTAATAAAACTGACTTTACTTTCTTTTGATAGCTATATCCCCCAATTCAGCTGCTGTCTCTCTCTATTGAAACTAATAGTTTTTTTTTTGTTTGTTTTTTTTTTTTTTTTTTTTTTTTTGTGTGTGTGTGTGTATAGATTCCTTAAAATTATCTGTATGTCAGGTCAGATAGTGCAAGTAAAAATAGTGTTGCCCTTCCTTCACAATCCAGGTGCCATTCATTTCTTTACCTAGCCTAGTTACCATGAATAGACTAATTACCCAGTTACTGTGGACAGACTAGAGAATAATTTGGAGTAGAAGTGGTGAAAGTGGACATGCCAGTCCTGTCCCTGACACAGCCCAGAAGGCTCCAGCTTTTCATTAACAAACTTCTTAGCTGGGGTTTTTAATAGTCACCATCATTTGTGGAATTTTTTTGTTTGTTTTGTTGTTTTTTTTTTTTTTTTTTTTTTTTTTTTTTTTTTTTTTTTGTCTTTGTGAGATAGGGTCTTACTGTGTAGCTTTCTGTCTGTTCTGGAACTCATTATGTAGATCAGTCTGGCCTCTGTCTGCCTCTGTCTCTCAAGTGCTATTAAAGGTGGCTTGAATTAAGCCTGGCTTCAATTTTTTTTATCATAAAAAGGGTTTTTTTTGTTATTGTTGCTGCTGCTGCTTTATTTATTTATTGACTTATATAATTAGTTATTGAGACACAGTCTCAATGTATCCCCCCTGCTGACCTAGAACTTGCTATATAGCCCAAACTAGCCTTAAACTCATAATCCTCCTGCCTCAAATTCCTTTAGTGCTGAGATTACAGGAATCTGCAACCATGTTTGATAGATGTTATACTGAGACAGAGTTTCTCTGTGTAGTACTAGCTGTCCTGGAACTAGCTCTTATAGACCAGTTTGGCCTTGAACTCACAGAGATCCCCCTGCCTCTGCCTCTCGAGTGATGGGATCAAAGGCGTGGGCCATCATCATCCAGCAAGAGTTTATACCTTTGTCAAATTCCTTTTCTGTGTTTATTGAGATGACTGTGTAGGTTTTATTCACTATTCTTCTAGTGTGCTGTGTTGTATTTTATTTTTCACATTCGAGGATTCCTGGACTAAATTCCATTTGAACAGGATATATGGGCTATACTATATATTGTTACTAGATTGGGTTTGTTCCTTGAATTCAAGGATTTTTTGTTTTGTTTTGTCTTTTTGAGACAGGGTTTCTCTGTGTGACAGCCCTGACTGTCCTAGGACTCGCTCTATATACCAGGTTGGCCTAGAACTCAGAGATTCACTTGCCTTTACCTCCCCAGTGCTGGGATTAAAGGTGTACCCCACCACACCCAGCTATTTCAAGGATTTTTAAATCCATAATCATAAGAGAGACTGGCATATAGGAGTTCCACAATGCATTATTTCTATTTTATTTGTCTTGCTTGTGACTTTTGTTTGGGTTTGGAATCAGATAAATGCTTACCTTAGAAAAATATAATGAAAAATGTTCCTTTCTTTTTGTTCAGTTTTGTTTTGTCTGTAGCTTTCCAGAAGTCTGTTTTATCTAGGTTTCCTAATTTGTTGACATTCTCTTACGGCATTTGATGCCTCTCTTTTTGTCATCCTAGATGACTGTCAATTTTGTCATTCACTCCTCCCCAGCACTTCTGTCTCTTTCAGCACTTTGTGTATTGTATGTTGCCTCTCACTTCATGGCCTCTAATTAAAGGTATTGATTTTATTGAGTATTCTTGCATGAGCCATGATGAGTGATCTCTCGCGAGGTTTTAAAGATTCTCTTTGCGTTTCAACAGTTTTATCTGTGACTGAGTTTAAGGGTCTCTGAGTGTTTTCTACTTGGAGTCCAGTGAGTTTCTTGGCTCTATACGTTGTTTTTAATCAAATACAAGAATCTTTCAAGTATTTTTGCTCCTGTTTTCTTTTCTTCTAGATTCCAGTGTGGATTTGTTTACAAGGTTGATTGAGTCACAGATATGTGAGGTTCTGTTAATGAAAAAAAATTAGAGACTTACTTTATGTTTAAGAGTGCTTTGCCAGATGTATGTGGGTGTGTGTGTATACCGCGTGTATGTCTTAGTCTTTGTTTGTATTTTTTCCCATTAGCCAGACTGAAAAATCTCATTGACTTATTCTAAAGTTGTCTGTTCCTTTCTGTGTCTTGTTTGGATCTTATGTTGATGCTTTTAGTGAAGTTTTTGTTTTACTTTCACAGTTTAACACCAGGATCTCTATTTGGTTCTTTTTCAGAAATTCTGTCTCTTTAATGATCATTGATTTGGTTAGGCATTGTTTTCATATTTCCTTTTAACTCTTAGGTTATGATTTGCCTTAGTTCTTTGATATTTTTAAGAGATTTGAAGTCTGGGCTTAATAAATCCAATGTCTGGGCATCTGGGAACAATTTATTCTAATTACTTTTTCTTATCAATCTTTCATAATTTTTGGTTGAGAACATGTAACTTGGAGAGACTAGAAATCAAATTTCTTTCCCGTCATTTGTTTCTATTACTGTTTGCTATAAAGGTTGTTTCTGAACTAATCCTATAAAATCGTTCTTTACTCTGTATGAACACTGACATTTCTGTTCATGCAGCTTAATTGTTTATCAATTATTAATTGGACAGCTTTTCTCTATCAGTAGGAATCAGTAAATTCCCCCAAGAAACTCTGCTGTGGTTTGGCCCATGTCTTTTAAGAGCATCCAGGATGCTGACAGTTCTGACTCCTGCCTGTGCAGAGCCCCTATTCAGCAGAACTGGGAGTTCAGAATCTCCTTGGATCTCTTTAGTCTTGGACCTGGGTTTGACTCAAACAGGCGTGATCTCTTAAGTTCAGAAATAGGTAGCTGTTCACTAGAGTCTCTGTGGGCATTCCTTCCACTCCCTAACCTTACCATCTGAACTCTTTAGTGATGTGCTATCTGTCTTATTGCCCATTTGTTTGGGCTGCTGTGAAATTAAACAATTGCTTGTAATTCTGCAATGTTCCCCGAGCTTTGGGTGCAGGGATTGGGTTATAGATGCCTGTCTACCCCATTTGCAATTGTTCTCTGCCTTTTTGAGGAGTTCTGGACTTCTGTGAAGTTCTCTATCTATTGCAAAAAATAAATTTTAATGAGGGGTGACATCTACACTATTAGGCAAGGCTGCATATCCAGGTCTAAGGAATGTGGAAATGGTGTGGGCTGGCTTGGTCCTGGAGGAACTCACCAGGCAAGACAAGACTGGTGCAGGAGGAGCTGAGTGGCAGGAACCAGGCCTGGGAGCAGGGGAATGGTGCATCTGACAGATGACACTGTAAAAGCACTAAAATCCCCTTTGTTTCCCCTGGGGCCCA